ATATATATATATATATATATATTATATATATATATATATATATATATATATATATATATATATATATTATATATATATATATATATATATATTATATATATATATATTATATAATATATATATATAATATATATATATATATATATATATATATATATATATATATATATATATATATATATATTATATATATATATATATATATATATATATATATATATATATATATATATATATATATATATATATATATATATATATATATATATATAGTATATATATATATATATATATATTATAATATATATATATATATATATATATATATATATATATATATATATATATATATATATATATACTATATATATATATATATATATATATTATATATATATATATATATATATATATTATATATATATTATATGTAATTCTATTAGCTAAGTTTTTATTAGCTAAGTTCTTGGTGATGCCAAATGAATTGCAATAGAAGTTTTAGCTTTAAAAAAATTTTCGGATTTGTATGGAACTGTTTTAAACCAGGTTTTTCAAATAAGATCAAGTTTTCTATGAGGGTAATATCTTGTAATATATGCCAACCTCTTCTATTGCCGAAAGCAATGGGGGATATTGAATTGAATCCTCTTGACTTAAGTCCTCCTCCACTGTTTGAGAAAGACATGTTTCATGGTTCTAAAAGTATATTACAATATAACTTCTATCATATAAATGTATAAAATAATATTTTAATTCTAAATCAACAAGTAACAATATATGTTTTTATTAAAGGAAATACTAAATATTGTATGTCGTGTGGAAATAACTCGAAAAAATGAATATTTCAAGATATATATATATATATATATATATATATATATATATACAATATATATATATATATATATTATATATATATATATATATATATATATATATATATATATATATATATATATATATATATATATATATATATATATATATAATATATATATATATATATATATAATTCAATGATATTTAATTCTGAATAGTATTGAATACAACGTTTTGCCAATTTAAGTTCCACGTTGAATCAACGTAAACTAGGTTGGTCCAATGTTGGACCAACCTACCCAGACAGCAAGCTTACATTGGACCAACGTTGGGCCAATGCATGATGATGCATTGGCCCAACGTTGAAAGTTGATGTTGGCCCAATGCAGGTTTGATCATTGGTTAGGTATTGGCCCAATGTTGTGTACAACATTGTCCCAATGTTGTATACAACGTTTACCAAACATTGGCCCAACGTTGTATATAACGTTAGGCCAATGTTGTATACAACATTGGCCCAACGTTGTATACAAAATTGACCCAACGTTGTATACAAAATTGGCCTAACGTTTTATACAACATTAGCCCAATATCGTATGTTATATATCAACCTAACGTTTTATGCAACATTAGATCGTTGTTACATATAAGATGATTTGCATCGCTACATTGAAAATTTATAGAGGAAAAAAAAATGTATGATTCAAGTATAAAAATTTATTTATTTAACATAATTTATCGGTTAAATATACATATTGCAAACACCAAACTTAAACCAAAAACTGACACATTGAGTTTTAAGTAAAAAAATCACTATAAAATTTATAGAGTAGTTTCGATATTGGCGGATCTACTTGTTATTGAATCGTGTTTAGCTTATGATATTTGGTGCCCAGGATTATTATTTTTTCTTCTTCTATCTCTATCATATGTCTGCATTAGCCATGCTTATTTGACTTCACAGTTTCTGCAAAAAAAATAGTTGATTGTTTAATTATGCACCAAAGAAACATAACAAATTGAAAGTAATTCT